ATCCAACATCTGCAGCATCCAACATCTGCAGCATCCAACATCTGCAGGGTGCTTGTAGGAGCGTTCATGTAAATAATGTCACCGTCATCAATGGAGGGAAGGAAAGTCACAGATACAAGGTGTTTCCTAACATTCAGGGTTAGACAGGATCTGTTTCTGAAAAAGAAACCCAGTTTAACTTTCAGTTTCTTTACCAAGTTTTCCACATGGAGCTTAAGGGTGCATTCACACTATCCCTGTTTAGTCGCTTTAATCGAACTCTAGCTCCTTTTCCTAGAAAGTCCGGTTCCTTTAGGGAGGTGTGAACGCGCCATTGAACTCTGGCCCGGGCTAAAACCTAGGTCTGGGTCCGGTAGAAGCGAACTTCAGCACGGTTCCAGTACAGTGTGAATGTAAACAGACCGGGCCCGCTCCACAGGACAAACAAACACACATTTCTCTTATATGGAGCCGTCAGCTGCCTTGTGTGAAAAACAATATTCTCCATGGTCTTCTGTCTCATCTTCTGCTCATGCTGAGTCCATTTTTGAAAAATGACAAAATAGAACTCCTAAAACTGCTAAAACTTGATGCCACTTAGTTTTTATTTTTATTTACAAAAGAATAAGAAGAAGACGTGTCTTCAGAGGTTTTTGTGTTGTTTCTTTCAGTAGTTCTTGGTGCAGCGCCCCCACAGGCGAGCGGGGGAACAGGTTGGTTCAACAGATTGGCTCGACTGCACAGTGCAGTGTGAATGCAAACGCACCAGCTCAAATGTAACAAAAGGTCATGAATATTGGTCCAGAACCGAACAGAGTCTACCGGACTATCTCGTGTGAAAACGACCTAAAAGAGAGATGTGAGTCGACCAAGATACCCAAATATTTATAGGAGTCAACAAACTCAATGGGGACACCATTTGAGGATAAAATCAGAGGAAGAACTGCTGGGACCAACTTCCTATTTGAAAAAAGCATCCCTTTGGTTTTATCAGCGTTTAGCACCAGTTTGAGGTGGAACAAATCAGTCTGGATGATGTCAAAGGCAGATTTCAAAAGCTGGAAAGCCTTAGCAACAGTTTTAGCTCGACAATAAACAACTGTGTCATCAGCATAGAAATGTATGGATGCATTAGGGATGCTCTGACCTACATTATGTATGTAGATTATAAAGAGGGTGGGTCTTAAGACTGAGCCTTGTGGTACACCATTGTTAACCGTTAAATAACTGGAGGAAGTACCATTATGTTGAACACATTGCCTCTGATCTGAGAGATAGTTAGAGAACCAACCAATGGTGTGTTCTGAGAAACCAGTTTCTGAGACAGACTGGCAGACAGACAGATGATCAGACAGACAGGTATTCTAGTCTCACCTGTACGTGAGTGTCTGCAGGTTCCTGCTGTAGCAGCTGGCGAGCCAGAGTGTCCTGTCTGTCAGAACGTGGGGACAGTGAGAGACAGACAGGTGGAGGAGACGTCCCCCTGCTGAGCGGAGCAGAAGCTCCACCCCCAGCTCCACGCTGCCTCTGATGGACAAACATCAACAGTCACCTGAGTGAACACCTTCAGCTGCTGTTTTCATGGCAGGGTCTGTCCTCGTGGTCCAGATGTTATCAGAGCTTTAATGTTTGCTGTGTGGGCTTATTTACCAGCTCCAGGTCTGTAAATAACAACAACAACGACACAAGAGTATTTTTGTGTGTTACCGTGTGTTTCTGAGGTAATCCTCTCTCGTCTCGTCGGCTCGACGGCTTCGAGGTTTCAGGTTGTTCAGGATCACAGACTGAGTCTGGGTACACCACCGGGACAGGGTGGTCAGGAACTACACACAGGAAGTACACAAAGAACAGAGGTTACACACAGGAAGTACACAAAGTACAGAGGTTACACACAGGAAGTA